TAATAATCATAACCATACATTATTTTCTTCTTCTTCTTTTCAAGACTAGTAATATTTTCTTATTAGAAGCTTCTTTTTTTTTCTCTCCCACGCAATGGAAACACAAAAAGTTTGATTTTCGTTTTACCAATTGATATCTTGACTAGAACAATAAGGCGTAAGGAAAAAGAAGAAAAATTTGACTTTTTCTCCCCACCTGTCGCTGCCAGTGCTAAGTTTCCTGCGCACATTATTCTCCAGGATTTAATTGTCAAAATTGGTGTCTTTGAATTGGAAAAGGAAAGATCAGGGGATTTCCGTGAACGGAGAAATTTAGTTGGTCACGTCTAATCTCGACAGCCACTTTTCTCTGGAAATACTCAACCACATCAGTATCTACGTCGGAATGGTAATATGGTACACAAAAGGACCTTTTTAGGAGGGTAAGAGTTTAGCGTTAGCTCTTCATTTTATTAATTTTGAAGTTTTTAATTTTTTATTTTATATTATAATATTTTTAATTTGTTATTTTATTAAATTTATAAGTTTTAATTTCTCATTTATTAAAATTGAAAAAAATAATTTTTATTTTATAATATTTTATTAATTCTATTAATTAACTGTTAATTTTATCATCATATTATTAGTTAACTATTAACTAACAAAAATTTTCTTTTAACTAACAAAAACTTTCTTTCAACTAACAAAATTAATAGTGAGTATAAAGTGAGACCCATTTTGTTCGTTTTTAATAGATGAGAGGTTAAAATTAATAAACTTAGTAAGATAAAGAGTTAAAAGTGTCATAGTATAAGATGAGGGGTTAAAATCTTTAAATTTGGTAAGATAAAGGGCTAAAACCAAGTTTTAAACTTTTAGAAGTTGCAAAATCTTTAAATTTTAAAATTTATTTTAAATTTTTAAAGTTAGTAAGATGAAGGGCTAAAACCAAGTTTTTACCTTTTAGAAGTTGCAAAATCTTTAAATTTTAAAATTTATTTTAAATTTTTAAAGTTTTATT